CACATAGGACAAAAAAACTGCAGCATTCACAGCCTTACTGAAGGATTACGGGGCCTGCGCGTGTCGCCTGGTTAATTGCGTGATGAATGTGATGTGATTGGGTTCTAATAGTTGACATACCAAGCAATTGTTCATATTTCAAAAAAGACTACTTCCACAGCTTGTAATAATGCATGCTCACAGACACATCAGGAAACAAAGCGGTGAAAGCAGAGACCGTTCTTTTTTAATACAACAGCTTGTCAGGTTTATCAAAGGTAAATTAGGTCCTGAATTGCTCTTAAATCAAGTGCACGTACAGGCAGCTGTAATTTGTGACCCCATTTATGTAGACAAGCTTTTCTCCCTGATCGGCTGAACAAGGAAGATTTCAGTTGCTTGATTTCCTGTGCGCCATTCACAAAATTAGGAACTTTGATGAACATAACGAGGACAGAAAATGCCATGCTGTTTATGGCTCTTCCTCTGCGCCTTTTATTGACGGGACATTAGGAGGCGATGAAGCAGGGTTTTGTTCAATCTGCGGCTTATTCAGCGCGGATTTCATTATGCTTCTATTACAAAAATCCAACGCTCTGTCAGGTCTGCAGTCATTTTGTATTCGTTGATTCATAATTTAATCAGACAATCCCCAGCTGATGAATAGATGTGAATTAATTGGGGCACGGATTTGCATGAGTGTATTACGTTGTACGCAAAGCAGCCGGCGGCCACAGTCTTTAAAGTGGGTAAATGTGACAACGAGCTTAGTTCGGAGAGTGAAGAAGAACAGCAATGAAAGGCAGAGACAGCCAACAGCTTCTCTACCTAAGCCCTTCAGTACACAGCACCCTGTGTCCATGCAGGGCCGTGTGATTTCCATAATTTAATTGTGGTATTGCATTAGCTCTACGGGAGAGTAAAGAAGACTCTGGGAATGGGACTTCACCCGAGGATGCTACGCAATTTTAGTGACTATTGACTTCACTCTTGGTACATACATTGGTACACACACACACACACACACACACACACACACACACACACACACACACACACACACACACTAAACTCTAAATAATTCCTCTCCCATCCCTTCTCCCATTTCTTACACATTTGTGGATAACAAAAAGTATTACTTTTTTTGTACTATATTATTACTATGTACTTACTATATAAATATTAGAAACGGATAGCTTGGTCAATTTGCATATTTTTTCCTATTTGGCCTATTTTGGACTCTAAAACAATGGTGACTTCAGCCAACAGACCCAATCTGTGGCAACTCATTCTCAAGGGAAAAGGATGCTCTCGCCTGTTGCATTCCTTCCTCTGTTGCCAATTTATGAGGGTCAGCGAGCAGAGCGCTTGTCAGGGTTGTTGTTGCTTCATTTATAATGGGTTTTTCTTAAAGGAGTTGCAGGGGTGAATCGACGGCTTAAGGACCTGCGATAATGGGCCATGTATGCTCACCATTAGCTGACTATGATGCCTATGATGCGGTACTTGTTTCCCAAGGTAGAGCAAGCAAGCAGCAGAACACAAACACATGCGCCTGTAAGAGGCCAACGTGTGACAGAAAATAACACATTAAACCATTACAGTGGGATTATTAAAGTGGTAGTTTTTTGTTGGACGTGTAATTGTGGAGTTTTTCATGCTTCTTGCTTGAACAGCGTGCCGGTCTCTGTGTGTGTGTGTGTGTGTGTGTGTGTGTGTGTGTGTGTGTGTGTGTGTGTGTGTGTGTTTATGTTTTTGTGTGTTGCTGCAATGCTGGGGTCCGTTTCAAGTAGGAGGTTTGACAAACTCTGAGTCAAAGCCTAAACTCTGAGTTGATTTACCCTGAGATGTGAAACTCTGAGTTTTCGGATTCAGAACAGCTGTTTAGAGTTGCTCCAGGCTCAGTTACCATGGTGACTGACCCTGAGCTTTAGTTACCTCCCTTTCTAAAACAGACAAGCCGGAGTTTCCCTCATCTCAGGGTTAACCAATTCTGAGTTTCCACTAAACCCGCTTCTTGAAACGGACCCCTGGTGTGTTACTAGAGAACACCTCAGAGATCCAGGAAAGTGGATCACATCACTCCAGTTCTCTGGCTTCCTGTTAAACAAAGGATTGACTTCAAAATCCTGCTGCTAGTTTATAAAGCACTGAACGGTTTAGGGCCAAAGTACATTTCTGATCTGCTGATACCTTGTGAACCGCTACGAACCCTCGGGTCGCCTGGGACTGGTCTACTTTCTGTTTCCAGAGTCAGAACTAAACATTGAGAAGCAGCGTTCAGTTTTTCTGCTTCACATATCTGGAAGAAAGCCTCAGAGAGTCCCTCAGCTCCTTTAAATCCAGACTCTTTTCTTTTTTATCCGTTTAATTTATTTTATGTTTAAATATATCAATGTTCTTAAGTATTTGTAAATCTCCTTGCTTCATGTTTGGATGTGAAGCACTTTGAATTGCCTTGTTGTTGAAATGTGCTATACAAATAAAATCGCCTTGCCTCTGAGGGGTCTAACCAGGCTAGCTGGCTGCATGCAGCAAATTGGGTCACCGCTGAATTAAACACCAGTGCCTCTGCGCCAGGGGCAAGCAGGTTAGAAACAGTCATGGCCCCAGAGTTATGATGGACAGTGGAGCCCAGGCAGAGAAGCAGATTGGGGGCCGGTGCTGGCACCCTCAAACAGAGGGGCCTCCTGTTGGGAGAAAGGTTATACCAAGCGTCCATTTCCTTTACCTGGCATCACAACAGAAACACAATGTGGCAAGTGTCTAACGAGGAGCTGAAAGACGCCAAAATAAAGGTTTGGCTGGCTATGATTGTGGAGTTCTATTTATAAAATCATCTGATGGAATTTCTCCTTAGTGGTCCAAAACTCCAGCCAGCTCTGTCTCTTATCCGGATGCATGTCAGACGCAATCAGAGAGAGAAAACAAAGACATTTTCCAGCAGAATAAAAAAGAAAATAGTAATAGAAAATTATTATTTTTTAATAAAATAATATCAGACATATTATATAACATAAGCTGGCCCCCAAATCCCGTAACTGAGAACCAGCAGGGGGGAATGTGGAGGCCGACATAAGAGCATCTTATTTGAATGCAACCCATTTTTTGCACGGCTGCGGTTGTCCTGCCCCTGTGGTTTCCGGGCGCTCTGCAGTGGTCCCTCAGCTCAACCTGCTGCATCCAGTCAGCAACGCTCAAGGACAAATGCACTTTGAGGGAAAGGAATAAATATTTGATATCTAGCTCTGCATCATGTGGTGAGACAGACAGTCAGAAACAAGCAGGATGGAGTATGTCGCCAAGGACAGCCCCTCCTAACCCTAACCCTTGGTTGGTTGTTTGGTTGGTCGAATTGGTTATGAAGGGTTACGGAGAACCGTTGATTAGGTGAGCCTCTTAATATGAAGTTTCTAATATTAAATGATTTTCATACTTGGTCCAACTCCAACATCCTGGAATCGTTTCAGTTTGTGTGCATTGAAAGTACAGTAGACTGCTGCAGAAAACTACCAGTATGAATGTAACACCGAATGAGATGTCGTAAAAGAGACGATAATGGCTCCACATTGACCACAGTTACATGACCCCGATAATCCTCTAGATTATTTCCTAAGAACTAAACCCGTCGACCGGATCACAGCACTCAAGGAGGCGAGCATGGAGGACGCCATTACCCGCCACAAGCGTCTTGTCCTTTGATGAACGAGTGATTTCCGTTGTGCGAGGATACGGTTGGTGTGTGTAGTACAGTAGAAAGAAAACATTTCCCGCATCAAACCGCTCACAACAAAGTCTGTGGATTATCTTTGGTTACCGGGTTACAATTTTTGCCATTTTGAGAAGTGAAAAAACAAGGCCCCTGCGGTTCCATTATATTTGAGCAAAGGTTCAAATGTCAACGGCCAATAACTCACACCAAAGCCATCCAGACCTACAACTAATGTGAAAAATGAGTATTTTGATATTGTGTACAGTAAACCGTCGTGAAATTCTAGTGGACTCGTTGTGTTTTAACCTCTCAGTGATGTTGAATGTAGAGTGTATGTAGAAGTGTTGGATGCGATCAAAGGCGCAAACAGAGAAATGTCAACCAGAGATTCTTAAGCATTAACTTCTTTCTCCTCAAGTGAAAAAAGAAAAAAAAATCAAGGACTCATTTTACAGTGGAAGGAAGCAGAAATCAATACACCAGAGATGGACTTTCTTCCACCACATTGAGGGAGTGAAGCATCCTGGGAACACAGGCTTGCAGCGCTGCAAACGACATAACACAAGCATAAATCCGGCATTATTCTGAGAGCTTGTTGGTTATCGATGCTTTTCCCTAAGGCCTGTGGACATAATCGGCACTGTGCGCTGAGCAAAGTGCAGAGACAGACAGACAGCAGGGATACGGCTAAAGGTTCGCAGCAGACTACAGCGCATGCCGGATTGATTTCACAGCCGCTTCAGAAAGCGGCGAAAGCTGGGAACCCACTGAGCGCTTGTGCGTGTGTGTGTGTGTGTGTGTGTCTGTGTGTGTCTGAGGACCTGGTACAGAAAACCCTACATGTTGCAAAAAGTAAAAAAAACATCACAATCATCACTACAAACCCTAACTTACACTACAAACCCTAGCTACATAAAGGATGGATTTCTTTTAAATAGTCACATGGTGCAAGGTCACAAACCAGGGACATTTCTGTGTATCTGAGGTATGCAACTCATACAATAAAAGGGTAAATGGTATGAGATGCGAATCAATACCAAGGCCACACAAGCTTAAAGAGTTCTCAAATGTAAAGGCTTGAAAGAGATTAAATAGCATGTGAGAAGAAGCTTCATGCATCATGTGTTCTCACAGTTCGCTTGAGGCATTTTGTCACTGTAAAGACAGACTGAGACACAAGTACTGACAATTTACCCACATCGATATTGACTAACCTGGCGTTTTTGGCAAACAGAAAAGGTTGCTTCCTACTGCATTGTTTTTCACAATTATTTGTGTGTGTGTTTGTGCGTGTCTTACTCTCCTGCAGATGATGGGAAGCTTTCTCTGGATGAGTTTCAGGCTTTCTTCTCCGATGGCACCCTGAACGAGGAAGAACTGGAGAAGCTGTTTCACACCATCGACTCTGATAACACCAGGTCAGCACTCCTACGCCACTTCTGTGTGTGTGTGTGTGTGTGCAGTCGGTTGGTGCATGACAGGCGGTTGTGTATAGCCGCATGAAATAAACGTGCATACTGATTGTGCACTTTTTCACGCGTGTCGAGGTGTTTTATGTGCTCACTCCACCGTGACTTTTGTTTCTGATCACATCTCCCTTTCAATTATGAAAAAGAGGAGAGACCTGCTGAACACTCTCAGTAGTGTGTGTGTGTGTGTGTGTGTGAGAGTCAAACTTACTTAATTGGTCCTACAGCCAGTAAATGTCACATTCTGTTCTCAAAGCCCTTGTTGCAAAGAACGTCAGGCAAACGTTCTCTACAGGAGCTGACCCTTTTGATACGAAACAGACATGTCCTAAAAAAAATCCCCATGGAGAGAATATATAATCGTTAAGACGAGTGAAAACATCCTTTCTCTCACCATGTGCTCACAAGCCAGTCGTCCCGATTCTCCAGGACCTTAACCTCCCTATCACAGGTACCACTGGTCCTCAGGATGCTGCCTTTTAATTGGCTTCCATTACATCGATTTATTGGCCCCTTTTATAACCAGCCAGCCAATCGGCTCACCAAGCTTGCAATCAGGAGAAGTGTGCTGACACGGTGGGAGCTGGTAATGAAAAGAGTCACTCTGTTCATTCCCACCTCGGCAACCTGCAGGATCCTGAAACGCAAATGAAGCCGAGCAGGACAGCAGCGGATCCTTTGGGCCTATTTGTGTTTTTTTCACATTGGGAAAGCAACTTGCCCGTCATCCAGCAGATGGTTATGAATCTTCTCCACCGCAGCGCACGCAGGCAGAGAAGTTCCTTCTCCTTTACAGTGGAGCCTCAGCGTTATCATGTAGCAGCAGATTAGGTTATTGATCGGGCAGAGAAAAAGATGAAGTGACGGCCTAAGCGTTTCCTGTTGAAGCAGGAAGTTGATGGATGGAGAGGAGGGCCGGGGCGGGCAGAGACGAAGCGCTGTCCCGCTTCCAGTCTTTAGTCCATCTGTCTCTGTCACTGTCTGTGGTTTTCTTCCCGTCTGCAGCTCTGCCTCCGTTTGCGTGCCTCCCTTTACATCTGTATTCTTATGTGTGGAATTCTAAAGACTAATGAGTTGAGGGATCTTCAGTCTGACCAGTTCCCCAATAAGGACTCTTATATCTTTGCTCAACAAAGGCTTGTTTCCTTTTGTCCGTTCTTTACATCACAGCGGCGCAAGATGCCGTTCCGAAGAACTCTGCAGGTGTGACGTTGAGAAATAAAGGTTAAGTGTAGGTTTATAAGTAGAGGCCTGGTAAAATGGCAAGGACCCCCTCCCCCCTCCAGGTTGATCTGGCTTTGTGGCGCGATGGTTATTAGTTACTGGTTTGCTTCTACTGTCAAAATGGATCTGGATCCACCATTTGGATCATGTCGCAAATATCATTGTAAAGTTATTCTTCAACCTCATTCACGGTATTGTTTTCACATTCAAAGTCTTTCCTCCACTGTTTCCCATCATGAGTTACATCTCAAAGCGTCTTTGTCGTGTTCCTCTTGTTACTTCTTCTCCCCCTTTCTTTCTCCCCCTTCTTTCTCTTTCTCTCTCCTGGCGAGTCTTTTGAACGTCAAGTGAAGAACTCACTGCCTTGATGGAAGTGGATCTAGTCAAACTCCTGTCAGGGTCTTGTTAGATCGCTCCCCAACTCCACATCTGCGTATGTGTGTGTCTCTGTGTGAGTGTGTGTAAGGGGGACTTTGGGATTTGGGGACTGCATGCAAAGAGCTTTTCCTCTGTTTCTGACCCTGCTCTTCTCTGCCCCTTTTCCTCCCTTCTTACTTTCCTTCCTTCCTTCATTCCCTCTCTTCTGCTGCTCCTCTGTGGAATGTAATAGTAATGTTGACACAAAGGAACTCTGTGGTAAGTGGACACACACATAACAACACACACACACTTCACAGCCACTGCCCTCATTTTTGTGCTCATTTATTTAAAAAGTACTTATCAGATGAATGTGATTATTGTTCACACATATGGCCCACACATATGGCAGTGGTTGGCCCAATATTCACACATATTGGGCCAACCACTGCAAATCATTTTGGGACAATAAAGTCACACACTCGCAAAGTTGTGTGAATCTTGAATTTGTGCGTGTATGTGTGTGCACAGACTACTTTGCCAAGCACATGGGGGACTACGAGGGAGTCCTGGCCTCACTGGAAACCCTCAACCTTTCCATCCTCAAAGCCATGGACTTCACCAAAAAGGTAAGAGTGCGTGTGAAGCAAACCTCCAGCAAAACATTTTCTGGGGACGAATCATTATTCCGTGTCCAGTTGGCGAATGTCTGTCACTTTTCCTTTTTATTTTATTTGTGAATTTGCCTTTGCTTTATTTGTTTTATTCATTCGAAGATGAATGTTATGCTTGCGGCGATAACCGTTGGTGTGCTAGATCTCACTTCTGTAGAACAAGCTCGGGTCGCTCCACCACTGATGAATCTGGAGCTCCCCTCGTGGCTGTGGAGCTTTCTAGCGACTTTCAGCTCTGTTGAGCGGTCCGGCCCCCAACGTTTAATGAATCGGTTCCCTCTAATGGCATTTATCATTTATCAAGCTGTAGGTAACTCGTTATTCTTTGCCAGGCGGCCGGCAACTTGCTGGTGAACATAGTGGAGCAGATGCGATGATATGACGGGTTTCCGCTGCAGCTAAAATCAGTGATTGCAGTTTTAAGATCTTTTAAGAGCATATTGATTTAGGGATTTCAACTGCCGGTTATTTTAAAAATCTATAATTTTAAAAAACAGCATTAAAAAGCTTTCACTTCCAACCCTTTATTCTATAACAAAACTGCAAATTCGCATTGCAAAAATACTTACAGTATTTACAGTACACCTTGCTCCTTGAACATAATAATAATTTATAAAATATAAAGGAAATACAAATCAGAAAATTTAAAAGGACACACCCATGTTCACTTGAAGCCTCCCTTTACAGGCATAACAAGTATATGCGCAAGTGCACTAGACTACCGTATATGACAGCATTAAAAAGTACAACACACACAAAAATATTTGTCAACAATAACCGATATGGGGAAAAAGCACGAAATATAAGACAAAGATTGAAAAATGAATGGTCCAAAACAAGGCTAACTGCTGTACTGCTGTCATTAGCAAGCTAACGCTAGCTTGATCAGCTGGATGACGAGTAAACCGCAGCAGCGGAGCTGCAGAGTTACGTTCCTCACGTCAAAACGGGGCGACGTGGTGCTTCTGTGCCACGTTACGTTGGCTTTGCATATATCGTTCTCTAGAGAACACTTTTCTGTTATTCTAGTTAACCAGCTGTTATTCTAGATAACAGCTGCTTCAATCTGTCGACAGTCTCTCTTGTTATATTGCTGTTTCTAAATCATTGTCTTCTTACTCTCATCCATGATGTCCTTTCCTTGGTAACACACACACACACACACACACACACACAATGTGTTGTCTTTGGGACTTTGATATCCTTACATTGTCTGTTGTGGGCGGTGTGGAGAAAATAAAAAACAACAACTGATCACAGAACTTGCTGACGAGTCGAATATCGATGAAGGTGTTTCACATTTCACGGCTATTAAAGATTTTATTGCAAAGAGAGAGAGGGGATCGTGGGGGAGAAAGGGAGGGAGAGAAAGAGCTAAGCTAAACTGTCTTTGTTTCTATCACACCGTTTATCAAGAAAAACATATTGTTTGATGATGGTATACAGGTATCTGTGAAATATCTGTAGATCAACGTAGTCTGAACCAAGATGGCAAACCCGTCACTGCTTCCAAGCCTCCATCCTTCCATGCGCTCTTTCACAATAACAGCCCTATAAATACACTGTAAACTGCATCGCGGCTTAGCAGAAGAACATGTAATTCCCCCACAGTCTTATGCTAAGAGTCTACTCAACACAATAGCTTACATCTTGAACAACACCAGTGATTAGAGTTTGGTTTAAATCCAAAATGTGTAACCAAATAGGAGCTTTTTCTTTGAGCTTTGACACAACCCCGGTTAGTCCAACTCTAGTCCACTGTAGTATCCATATTCCGAAGTATTTATTGAACACTTTTTTATAAATCACAGTTTTTTTTATTTTACAAAAGCTTATGTGATTTCTCTGATACATAAAAATGAACCGAATGTGGTTGATTTGTATACTACCTCCGTCTAGCACCGACTGCTCTGACACCCACCACTGGAGCTGTCAATGTGCTAAGTGGATCTGCAGTAGCTCTGCATGGAGCAACCGTTAGCTCATTCTTTCCGACGGAGCCGGTCTCTCAGTGAGTGAGGATACCACTGATGTGTTATGTAGGTAAGCACACATTGCCGATAGAGTGCTTTGTCGTGTTCAACACTATCATTTATAATGGTCACCTACTGAAAGATAGAGTGTTTGAAGCCATGATAAGTTTTAGAATCCTGTCCTGATAAGCTTTCAAAACAGGGGCGTCAAACTCATTTTAGGTAAGTGGCCAGAATCTGCCCACTTTGATATTGTGTCTTTGTGTAATTCTCACACTAGCAGAGTCACCCGGCAGGCCAAGCCGGGGGGGCCCCCGGCGGCCAAATCCTTTATCTTTATCCTCCTCTTTGTCTTCACCTACTGTCTTTCTCTACTGTACAGCTGGTTTCGTTATTCAACCCCCCATCCTTATGTATTGCAGCCCTCCCTGTCTTTTTTCTCCTACCCCATCCTGCCTAGTTCAAATACGGGAAATAAACCCTTAGTCTATACAACAAGATATAGAAAGGTAATCAGAAAGTATGTACAATGTAAAGCTTGAGAGAACTGACACAGGTGTGAGGAGGTGGAGTGGGCAGAGCTAAAAGACAGAGCGTGATATTAGCTTGAGCAGAAGGCCGGAGCCGTGGCCTTTCAGAGCCCAGTGAGAATTGATTAGCTTCCCTTTCATTTAAATGGATACACAGAGAGGAAGACTGAGTGGGATAGGTGGGCAGACTCTGTACTGTGCTCTTAACTACAGTACTGCACAGAAGTGTGTGTGTGTGTGTGTGTCTGGGTGGGTGAGGGGTTGTTCTTTAAAGCTTGGCTGGTACCCAGGGGCAAAGATGAAATGGGTCTCCAGATAATTAAAATTAAATTTATACGCCAGCAGTATTGGCTCTGTCAGGGTTCAGAAGCCTTGCCAAAACCTTTTCATTTCATTTATATACAATTACAGACTCTACTGGATTGTAACATATTACAGGCTTCCTACGGTCGTGAAAAACCTGGAAAAGTCATGGAATTTTAAAATGCGCAAATTATTCGCAGACTGCAGACGCGTGACTTCATTTTGTTAGTGAATGACGGGACATTGTTTGATTCTCTTCGTCTTCATTTTCTACAATTAATAAATTCTGTCACACGGTAGATAAATGGTACGCTCTCGTGCCTAATGCCGCTCTTCTGACGTCAATACATCGCAACGCACAGGGAGCGTCAGACATTTCCATTCACTTCATGCAGTATGTATCATTTTGACTGTAAAAGGTATCATTTAGTGCACGTTGTCGTCGGCTGCCCATTTTAAGAGGCTCATCAGATTCACTAAGCTGTTCATGAAGTAATCAAGTGACAGCTCCCCCTCTCCGGATTTTCAATGCTTCTGACGTACAACAACCATAAGACATCGCAGGAGTTGTTTTTTTACTTTAGTTTTGGGGTCGGTAGACATGCCAAATACACACATTAACCTGTAGAAGCACTAAACAAGTGGAATTTTGAGTATATGTCCCCTTTAAAGTTGTGTTTTTTTACTTTCAGGCATTCAGGTTTTGGAGTTCTCCATTTATTTCATACAAGACTCTTTTAGGGTTAGGTCTGGGCGGTGAACCAGTTCAAACGGTATGTGTACAGTATGTCTTTTTCACCTAATGTTCATACCGGTGTTGGACCATAACAACTGACGTGGCTCTTCGGCAGGCGGCAGAATTTACTTTAACACGTTAATCGAGGAGCGGCGAGCGGTCGGAGCTATTTGTCTTACGTGTGTCGACATAGAGTCATAGTTATAACTTTATAACAACTATAAAAAAACCACAACAAAGACTCTTTAACAGGGTAAAACATCACATCATAACAGCTTGTGACACATAAACAATTTGTAACACTAATAATTGTACATTTATAAAAATGACCCTGCCGACCTGCATGCTGGTTACAGCTCACAACAACAAGTAACTCTGTTGCTACATGAAAACACGGAAAAGAGCGATACAGGAGGAACAACGAGAGACCAGGAGACGAGCTGAGTCCGTTTGGAGGGTCTTTGGTTTTGGAAAATCCAACAAGTTACGTTAGATGACAAAACGATTCATTGCAAAGTCTGTCTGCCCTACGATGTGTACGTTGTGTGCCTGGACAGCTTCAATCTCAGATTCAGCACCACCCGTCTATGGACAGCGTTGACAGAATGTGTGGCCGTCACAGTGCGTACACATCAACCGCGATACGCCATTTTTTACGGTGTGAGATATAGTGCAATTGTATTGTATTGTTTGAGTACAATTAATTTGAATGGACTGATGTTGGACAGAAACAAAGTCAGATTATTTGTAAGAAAGTTTGTTGCCTTTAGCTACCTCTAGTTTTACTTTCTCACTGAAAACAATGTTCAAACCGTGTCTCTCCGTAGCATCCCTCAAGAGTCTTACTGGTACCGATGAAGACAGGAGGCAGGACATTTTGGGGACAGTTGCCTTGGAGACGGTTGAGTTGATGTCGGTCTACCTTGAAGCAGCTTGTTAAGACATCGCTCAGCTCTCCATCAATTGTTTGCAAGCAGGGAGTGGGCACCCGGCGTGACATGCAGGACTGACCGTGAGCTCCACTTGCCGTCTCCAACGTCTTTCGCAATATACTGAAAGTTCTTTTGGCATGAACTCATTTCCAGGAGCAAGGCCTAATTTTGTGAACCAGATCAAAGATGATGGCCATCAACAGTTACGTGTCGCGAAGAAAAGTTTAAAAGGAAACTTTTAGTGGCTTTTTTGAGAAATCCCCCCTAAATGTCATGATTTACACAACGTTGACTAATATGTAATGCATGGAGATCACAAGTTGAAAACCTGTGGTTCAACTAACTCCGTTTGCTGTGTGTGAAAGCTGTTCATGGTACTGTTAGAATCAGAAAGGTGTCCAGAAAACTATTTTAATTGGCTCTCCAGCAGGTGGAGATAAATAATGTCCGCTCCCATGAGGAGATAGTGTGTGTGATTGTG